CTGATACTTAGGAATGTAAGCTTCAAAAAGAAGGGTTTTTGCTTATTTGCTTATTTTGTTCACAAGGTATTCAATAAATATTTACTGAAAGAATGAAAGTATGAAGGTTTTTATGAGAATTAAATGAGAGGTAAAATACATGGTATTGTCTCTATTTAAAGACACAGGAAAGAAAAGACTAAACTGGATGTCAGAAGAATTGGAAACTTGCTCCTGAATATGCATAGGCTAAAGCAATGGGAAGAAATGAGGAAGTTAAAAAGCTGAGCTGAAAATGCCAAAGGGCAGTTCCACAAGACAAAAGCAAATATTATGATGCAATGTACAACGACCTGGAATTTTAAGAAATCAAAAGGGAAGAACATTATTTGTTTACTTAAGCTGAAAGAACTAAAGAAAAAATTCAGGCCTCGACTTGCAATACTGTAGGACTTTATGGAAAAATATTGAAGAAGAGTCACTGCACCAAAAATAATTGGTCGATGTTCAATCTTTTCAAGAGGTACCATGATCAAGAACCTATGGAATGGGTAGAACAAGTTCAAACTGTACCGAAGACACTGGTGAAAAACAAGGCTCCAGAAATTGATGGAATATAACTGAAATGTTTCAACAAGCTGATGCAGCGCTGAAGATGCTCACTTGTCTACGTCAAGAAATTTGGAAGAGATCCATATTTGTGCCCACTCCAAAAAGAAGTGACTCATTGGAATGCAGAAATCACTAAACAGTTTCATTAATATTTTGCTGAAGATAATTCAGTAATGGTTGCAGCAGTACATCCACAGGGAACTTCCAGAAATTAAAGCCAGATCCAGAAGAGGATGTGAAACTAAGGATATCATTGCTGACGTCTGATGGATGTTAGCTAAAAGCAGAGAATACCAAAAAGATGTTTACTTATGTTTTATTGACTATGCAAAAGCATTCTACTGTGTGGAGCAAAACAAAGTATGTACAACATTGCGAAGAATGGGAATTCCAGAACACTAACAGTGGTCATGCGAAACCTGTACAAAAACCAACAGGCAGCTCATTGAACAAAACAAGGGATACTGAATGGCTTAAAATCAGGAAAGGTGTGCGTCACCATACTCATTCAGTCTGTATGCTGAGCAAATAATCTGAGAAGCTGGACTATATGAAGAATGCAGTATCAAGACTGAAGGAAGGCTCATTAATAACCTGCAATATACAGATGACACAACCTTGCTAGCTGACAGCGAAGAGAACTTGAAGCACTTTGTTGTTGTTGCTAGGTACCATCAAGTCAGTTCTGACTCATAGTGACCCTCTGCACTACAGAATGAAACACTGGTCCTGAGCCATCTTCACAACTGTTGCTATGTTTGAGCCCATTGTTGCTACCACCATGTCAATCCATCTCACTAGGGATCTTGCCCTGTTTTTAGTTGACCTCCCACTTTACCAAGCATGATGTCTTTATCCAGGGAATGATCCCTGCTGACAATATATCCAAAGAACTAGAGACAAAGTCTTGCTATCCTAACTTGTAGGGAACATTCTGGCTGTTCATCTTCCAACACAGATTTGTTTGTTTACCTGGCAGTTCATGGTACTAGTTTTCACTATTTTTCATCAACACCATAATTCAAATGCATCATACTTTGTTCTTCATTAGTCTTCCCTTATTCTTTGTCCAACTTTCACATGTTGTTGTTAAGTGCTGTCGAGTCAATTCCAACCCACAGCAACCCTGTACAGGGTTTCCAAGGAGCAGCTGATGAGTTTGAACCACCAACCTTGCAGTTCAAATGACTTGGCAGTCTGACACATTAGCCCACAGTGCCACACCAGGCGATTGAAAATACCATGGCTTGGGTCAGGTGCACCTTAGTCCTCAAAGTAACATCTTTGGTCTTTAACATTTTAAAGAAGTCTTTTGCATCACATTTGCCAATGCAACACATCATTTGATTTCATGACTGCTGCTTCCATGGCTCACTGATTGTGGGTCAAACAAAATGAAGTCTTTGACACCTTCAATCTTTTCTCAGTTTATCATGATGTTATTTATTGGTCCAATTGTAAGAACTTTCATTTTCTTTACATGGAGGTGCAATCTCTACCAAAGGCTTTGATATTTACCAGTAAGTATTTTGATCTTTATCAGTATATTTCAAGTCCTCTTGACTTCCAGCAAAGCCAGGTTATGTCATCTTCACATCACAGATTGCTGATGAGTCTTCCTCAAATCCTGTTCTTCTTCATATAATCCAATTTCTTATTTATTTGCTCAGTATACAGATTGAATAAGTATGGTGAAAGGATGCAACCCTGGCTCATATCTTTCCTGATTTTAAATCACTCAGAACTTATTGACACATTTTAAAAAATACAGCCTTTAGTACGGATTCTGTGGGGACTCCATCTCAATGTAAAGAAAACAAAACTCCCCACAACTAGCCCAACTGAAAACATCAGGGTAAATGGAGAAAAGTATGACATTGTCAAGGATTCTGTTTTACTTGGAGCTTCTATCAATGCCCATGAAAGCAGCAGTCGACAAATCAGAGGACATGCTGCATAGGGCAAACCTGCTGCAAAAGATTTTTACAGTGTTAAAGAGCAAAGACAGGGTGTGCTTGACCCAAGCCAGGGAATTGTTAATCACCTCATATGCATGGGAAAGTTGGACAATGAATAAAGACTGAAGAAGACTCAATGTCTTTGAATTATGGTGCTGGCAATGAATAATGAATAGACTCTGCTACCGTAAAGATTTGCAGCCTCAGAAATCCTGTGCAGGGTCACTATGAGTCGGAACCGACTCCACGGTACTTAACAACAACAATCAGTAGAAAAATCTGTCTTGAAAGAAGTACAGCCAGATGCTCCTTGGAAGCTGAATGGTGAGACTATGTCTCAAGGCCTTTGAACATGCTGTCATCACTCTTGGTAAAGTAGAGGATAGGTAAAATAGAAGAAGATCCTCAATGAGATGGACTGATTACAGTGTCTGCAACACTGGGTTCAAATATAGGAAAGATTGTGAGGCTGGTGCAAACCTGACTGTTTTCATTTAGCTCTACAGGGTCAGTATAAGTCAAAACCAACTTGGCAGAATCTAACAACAACAATAAAAGCCCTGATTTACCTCTAAATATGGAGATGCATTGCTAAGTTTGAAAAATAGTTGCAGTTAGAGATGTAGCAATTTATCCTTATTCTAATTTGTTGGTTTTTTTTTTACTTACTCTGGAAAGATCCATATATGAATGATTTAGGGGTACTGATTCTTTCAAATAATTTCCCCCTACTATTATATAGGTAACACTACTTTTCATGGCAAATTTCTACAATATATGAAAATATAGAGAATATAAAAATACCCATAGCCTCATCTCAGAGAAAATGCTGATTGCCATTTTACAGATTTCCCAGTCATTTGGTCTATCTGTACAGGTATTTACTCCTCAAATTAGGTGGATTCCTTTCTAACCCTTCAAATCAGCTTTGGATAAAGTTAATAAAATGCTAACATATCCTATTTTAGTACTATATTGTAAAATGCTGATTCATCATCAAATGATATCAAAATAACCCTGCATAGGGTTTCCAACGAGTGGCTAGTGGGTTTGAACTGCTGACCTTGAGGTGAGCAGTCCAGTGCTTACCCTACAGGACCACACAAGGACAGTATATGAAAAATATTTTTATATTTACAATATATGATGCCTGTACGGAATCCTGGTATACTCATGAGAATCAAAATATTGAAGAGTAATTTATATATTTTTTCTCATCACCAGTCATCTTATAGATGGTAGAAACTAATGCTGCAGACATATCATGCATAACTTTACTGGTTCTGCCATTTTCAGAACTGTTATCCTCCTCACAAAATTGAGCAAGCAAACAATGGAAGAAATATTAAACATAGACAACGTTTACTTCAACCAAAACTCAGGGGCTTGTTCTTACATGAATCCATCTCTAGGTGAAATCTACAGTGGGTCATTCTCATCTCTCATTCTTTTTAATCCTTGGATATGTCCCATTATATATAAAAAAAAATGTGGACAGTTGATTTCTTGGATCATTTTCTAGGTTATGCTACATATGGCCCCAAACTGGACCTCTTATCCATTCATTCTTCATTATCAGTTACTGGGAAACCTACTGTTTTCTCCCTGAAATCTGCACCAACTACTTATAAAAAACAAAAAGCACAGCCATTGCTGTTGAATGGATTCCAAGTCTTTCATGTGCTTCACTGTAGTACTGGATCTATAGGGTTTCCAATGACTATAATCTTACTGGAGGGTCACCAGGTCTTTCTTTCACAGTGTTCCTGAGTGGATACAAACTACCAACTTTCTGGCTAGTGGTGAGAGCAAACTCTATTCACTATCCAGGAATCTACCACTAATAAGGTCTCAAAATATTCAGAGCAGAGTTTATCAACATTTAACATAACCTATTAAAGTGTGTCATAGTATTATGAGGAGTCCCTTTGTGGCACTGTGGGTTAAAGCACTGGACTGCAAAGTCAGTTTGAACGGCAAGTTTGGTGGTTCAAGCTCACCAGCCGCTCCTTGGAAACCCTATACAGGGTTATTATGGGTTGGAACTGACTTGACGGTACACAACAACAACAACAACAACAACAAATAGTATTATGAAAATGTTTGAACTATTGTGAGAATTACCAAAATATGACACTGAGCTATGAAATGAGCACATGCTGTTGGAACAATGGCACCGACAAACTTGCTCAACAGAGTTGCCACAAATGTTCAGTCTTTAAAAAAAAAAACTCATGATCCTTGAAGCACAATAAAGCAAAGTGCAATAAAATATGTGACTGCATACTTTGTGTATATTTTTAAAAACAAACATCAATTAAAAATGGAATTCCTCTTTTTATTGTCATGAAAAGACAGATAATAGAATCAAAAGTTTCTATTCATCTTCTCTTTTGTCATGGTCATTTTAACTTTCACAGAAAGATCTTAGATGATAAAGAATAAATTTACCTTATTTTCTTCTAGAAATTTCAATTTGATAGAAACATCGCTGCGCATTTTATCATATTTTTCCTTATGTGCCTGGAATAGGTGTTGTGACTGCTCAATCTTTGGCAGAGTGTTTGCATCACGTGGTCCAAGATTCAGTTCTTCTAAATCAGTTCGATAAGCATCATATTCAACCCTGCAAAGTAAGAACAAGTGCTGCATATTACAGAAATAAACAGAAGTAAGTGGCTGGAAACACACAGTGGTCTCTTATTGTATAGTAACATAATTCTTATATGGGCTTCAAACAGTTTGTGGAAAAATTTCATTATCTTTCAATTCCATTTTTCCATGAGCTTTCTGAAGTCCCCTCAGACACCTTCTGCTTTTGAAATTATGTATTTCTTTAAATAAAAAGAGTTATTAATGTAAGCAACAGGGGGAAGCTCCATCTTAATTACTCAAAGAACAGCGTTAACTGATAAGTAAATATTCCAAAATTTAAAAACCAATTTTGAAAAACAGATATCAAGACCTATATCAAGACTTAATGTTAATAAGACCAGAAGTCAAGATCATTTCCAAATGTAGACTGGTAAATTTTGGTGAGGTACAGTCAGGTGTGTACAGTAGACTTTAGAATGGCATGCTTAAAGTAACTGGTAAAAAGAAGTTATACTGAAGGTCAGTGGTCCTGAAAGTAGTCTTCGCACTGTACAATAAAAATTTGATGTAGGCACATTGTTTCAAAGTTTCTACTAACAACATTAAAAGAGTAAAAATTCATTTCATTTATTATTTTAATTCATTTTATCCAATATATACAATATTATAATTGCAACACGGGTTAATGTGCTAGACTGAAAAGTTGGTTTGAACCTCAAAGTCGGTGGTTCAAGCTCACTGGCTGCTCCTTGAAAATCCTATAAATTGTTACTATGGGTCAGAATGGACTCAATGGCACTTAATAACAACAACAACAATTGATGTAAAAAAATTATTAATGAGCTACTGTACATTCTTTTTTTTTTTTTAATCAAATTTTTGAACTCCACTGTGAATGTATTTTGGACTTGCAGCACACAGAAGTTCAGATTAGCTCCATGTCGAGAGCTCTGTAGAATTGTGTGACTAGTGATTACCTTACTGGGATTTCTATACAAGTATCGGTAGCGTAGTGGTTACGAATCGGGCTGTGAACCTTAAGGTCAGTGGTTCGAAACTACCAGCCACTCCGTGGGAGAAAGATGAGGTTTTCTACTCC